ACAGAGAGAGAGAGAGAGAGAGAGAGAGAGAGAGAGAGAGAGAAACAGAGAGAGACAAAGACAGAGACAGAGAGACAGAGAGAGACAGAGAGAAATGGTTGAGTAGGGTGTGACTCAATCCCAAAGTCCAAAAGTGAAGACCCTTAGTTAATTCCCTAGTGGAAGGGGAACAGGAAGGAAGGGAGGAGGGAGGGAGGGAGAGACGGAGGGGAGAAAGGAAGGAAAGATTCAACCAAGACAAACTCTATGGGATGTTACTTCCAGTGTCTGAAGAAAATTTCAATGAAAAAAGTTTTACAAAATATTTCTAAAGCAGAATAAATTATAGCATATGAAACATTTCAGAAGTCCAAGTGCTACAGCTCATCTGAGAAAACAGGGCCAGTTCAGCAGGAGGAGTCAGCAACAGCTTATGGGGGCGGTGGGCCAGAACAAGCGCTGTGGCCAACAGGCTTGCATTCAGGTCCTGCTCTGCTCTCCCTGGCTGGTCCACCTTGAGCTGCACCATCTCCTCCACCCAGCTTGGCTTCCTCTCTCACACAGGAGGGGAAGACTGAGAGCCCTGACCTGCCTCATGGTGCACGCTGAGCACGGGATGCTGCTGGCTGTCAGTGCACTGCCCCTGCTCTTGACTCCATGACCCCACCTCCCCAAGGTCCAGGCCCTTGTGACACGTGCTCAATCGTGGCTACTGCTACCTCCTGTCCCCAGAGGCTGCGACCACCATCTAGAGGGCTCAGGGTCCATGTTCTGTCTGTGTCGGATCCTTGCTCTCCTCCTGAGGTACTCACCGCCCTCAGATTTCTTTCAGTGCATGTTTGTTGTTCATGTCAATAATCCACAAGACCTCAGGTCAGGATCTGCTCACCAGCTCTCCTGCCTGGCTTTGATCATACTGACGAGATGAAGACTAATTTCCTGGTTTCCTTCTCCTATGGAAAAGCTTTCAGGGCTCCTGACCCACGTGCTCTGCACAGCTCCAGTGCACCCGAGCTTCGTGCTCACGCCTGGCCATTGCTGGGTACGATGGAAAAAGCAGCCCGCCCCCCTCTCTCACCTCCACACACTAGGTCAGACAGAGCAGAACACAAAGAACAGCTCTTTCCTGTGAAAAAGAATTATAGTGTTTTTGTTAGGTTTGTTAATATATTTTAACAATCTTGTTCAGCACAGGGAACTTGTACCTGTATGGGATACATGTCAGTTCTTTTTTTCTCATTCCTCTCCCCTCCCTTCAACTCCTCTTCCTCTCTTTATTTACAAAGCTTTCTTTCCACTTTATCTTTTACTCTTCAGTGTTTTCTTTCTCCTTTCCTTCCTCTCTTGACCCAGTTCCCCTTTCCTTTTGAACAATTTTTCCTATTCCCCAATATCTAGTATATATTTTGGTTCTTATTTACATTTTCAGTTTCTTACACCAGAGAGACAATGTGATCTTTACACGTATGTGTGTGGTTTATTTCACTGAAGAGTATGGTCTCAAGGTGTTGCATTTAGTCATACATGTCTCAAGTTTATCTTTCTTTAAGCCTGGGTGGCTCTCCATTGTATTAAAAAAAAAAACGCTCCTTTTTTTTAACCTATTTAGTGGCTGATGAGCTTTTGGGTTTCTTCTAAGATTTAGCTATTACAGGCTGTACTGCTGTAAACGTGGGTGCTCCTCTATTGCTATGACATGATGCTTTTAATTCTCATGTGAAGATACAAAGAAGGCAAATGGCTAGTTCAACTGGGACTTCCAGTCCTAGATTTTTGGGGGAATTTCCACATTGATTTTCACACTGATTGTACCATTTTACTCTCCCAGCAAGAGTGGAGAAGTGTTCCTTTTTCCCCACAACCCCTCCCACATTTGTTATTGATTTCTTCATAATAGCCATTCTTTCTGGAGTGAAACAGAATGTTGGCATTGTTTTAATTTGCATCTCTAATGATCAGCAATGTTGAACAATTTATCATATATTGATTTGCTATTTCTACTTCTTTATCTCAGAAGTATCTTTTTCCAATGTCTGTTTCTGGAATAGGTCTTTAAATTTGGGGGAACAGTCTGACTATTTTTTTAGTTCTTTACATAGTCTAGGTGTTAGCCTTATGTCTCAGGAACAGCTGGCAACACTTTTCCCACTGTGTGGATTGTCCCTTTCCTCTTTCAGTAGTTTCTTTTTCTATGCAAAAGCTTTTTGATAAAATGAGACCCCAGTTGCTGATTCTTTG